TCAGAATAGGTTTTGCCAGAGGCAATAATCTACCTAGCAACAAACATAAAATCAAGTAGAACCATGAAATACAATAATAACTCAAAACCAAAAATAGAGAAATAAACAACTTAAACCGAAATAAAATTCATAGAACTAACATAAAGAACCGCACAACTTCTTTACCTATTAATGGGATCAACAAAAAAATCGCTAGTCAAGAATGAGAGATGGCTTAGGAACCCCGACAACGTCAAACATGGCAGTTTTGCACATGGGGAGATGAGGCAAATAGTGAGAAAGAAGAAAAATTTTCACCCAATTAATTTCACAAAATGGGCATGGGCAGAGCAGACTTTCTAAACATTAAAAGGTCAGGAAAATTAGCACAAGACCCAAAAATATATTTTAAAAAAGTAATCAAAAGGAGAAAATAGAGAAAGAAAATGTCACTTTTAGCTAGTTTTCAATAATCTTTTACCACTATAGTTTGATACTCCATAACATTCACGAGACCTGCTCCATAGCATCGGCCAGACAGTCAATGTATCCAAGAAAATAAGAAAAAGATTCCCAATTCAAATAAGAAAAAGCCGACATCGGCTAGACAGTCATGCAATCAGATTTGAGGAATATCTCAATCTGAGAACATGTAATCAGATAAAGTTTGGGGCGTGTAATCAGAGGTCCATATGACTGAGAACATGCAAAAACTTTGGAAGAAACTGCACTACCTCATATAAAGGCATAGAAGAATAATTTTCCATAAGTCAAATCTAAGATTAAACATTTGAAAATTTATTTCCTTTTCTTCAATTACTACACATTCCTTCACATTAGCTAACAATAAAGCCATGATTTATTTATTTATTTATTTATTCAAGATCATCATGTTTGGTGTGGGAGATTAAGACATGCTCAACAGTCAAAAAACCTAAAATTGTTAATAAGACATGTGTGACTCTCATCATAGTCAATTGATCACACCAATATAGTGTAGTGTAAACTCAAAAATTATTATGGTTCTAAAAGCATATGGCGCATACTCGGGCCTGTGGGCAAAGAAGCAGACCCTTCAGCAGAACCTCCATCTGTTTCGGGCCCGGGACGGGTCTCTTCATCCTCATGAGCCCCACCCACAACTGTCTCCAGGGACTTCATTTCGCCGTAAAAGTTTGATCACATTAAACTGTACTCAAATCAAACTGCAACAACTAAGCGATTGTAGTGATGGACACAATGATAAATTCACTCGTAAAGAAAAGAAGGGGGAGAAGTTGATGGAGAGACAAAATCCAAGTCAAAAGCAGGTACTAATCCACATTATCCACCACAAACTCAACCTTTACATATTTTTAAGGTAAAGTCAACCTTTACCATTAGCTGCATTACCCCAACTTGCAGGCTTTCACATGAGATTGGTAATTTTGTGGATATTTTAGAAAGAAGTGATTCACAACTACAAAGATCATATTTTCTTTACATTTGAGATTCACTCTGAAAGCCACCAACTTTAGAAATTTGCAATAACTTCTTCATACTCTCCAAATAATAATAAATAACACATCTCAAATGAACACTAATGAAACAGTAGAAGGATGCACTAACAAACACCAAATTTTGCAGTTGATCTCAACAAGCAATTATATGGATAACTTAAAGTTTCTATTTCAAATGAACACTAATGAAGCAGTAGAAGGTTGGTATTTTCAAAATCTAATTTCAGCCAAAAAAAAGAAATAAAGTAAAAACGTTGCAGCATTTTTGTTTTTATTATTATTATTATTTTTTTTCTTTTTGGCAACCTATTCTGATATCAAACACTTGACCAGATCCTGACCTGACTTCATAGCACTATCACGACATACCAAATAGGCATAGGCTTTCAACTGGAATGAAAGAAAACCGGAAAAGTCCTTCCATACATCCTGTTTCGCAATTCTGACCTCTCCATTTCAACTCAACGCATACTATCCCGTGATGCACTCTGCTTTGCAATTCTGAAAGGTCCGTCCACTCCACGAGCTGCCATTTTTTCCCATTGACGGTTTTCACGTGCACTTGCTCCACATCGTGCCGCCAAAAGGTCCCGAGGCTCATGTTTGCAAGCAACATGTTGAACTGAAACTTTGAGAGGCTCTGCGCCACCTCCGACACGCAAAGGAGCCTCGGACCCCATACGTGCCTCGGTCGACAAACACGAAACAAATAATTCGTAAAGTCCGAGTACCAAGATTCTGTGCGATATTTATAATTTCTAAATTCAAAGTTCTCCACCACCACAGGCGGCTCGTCAATGAGAAGACCACTGCCGTCAACAGCACCACATGGCATGTCCATCTCCAGAATCAGATCAATCCGAGACCCACTTAGTGGCTTGAGCATTCGTCTCAGCTTAAGGAACCACGAATTGACGTTGAAATCGGGATCATCCTCCCACAAATAGAGGATTACATTTGAATCCCACTCCTTGGAAGTTGGGGTCGTGAAAGAGAATGTATCCAGCACCTGGGGGGAAATGATCATAAAATTGAGAATGTTAGGGGCACAAATCGTAACTCCTTTAAGCAATATTTTTGTTGTCGAGATGGTCAACCACTTGACCGAATCACTTGCAAGATGGAATTCCTCAAAACCGGAGCAATTATCTAGAGCCAAGCTCTCAAGAGTCGGGCAGCCGAACGATAACAGGTCGATGGACTCGCTCGACATGATCACTTTACAGAGATGCAAACTCGTGAGACGAGAGAAGAAGAATGTGCTTTGGAGGTCAGACCACATCCATGGGCCCCTGATGCGGACCGTCTCGAGATTCGGGACATCGATTTCGATGCTACCCCCTTCTCTCCTCTCGGAATCAAACAATTCAAAGTGCTTGAGCCCAGGCGCCTCGCTCAACCTAACGTTTCTCAACTCCCGACAATTATTAAGGACCAGACGCGTGAGCAAAGGGCATCCCAAGGTTTTTGTCTCGAAAGTCCCACAATCAACTTGGACCCGTTCGAGGGTGAGCGTGCGCAGACTTTTGAACCGGACGCTCTTGGCCGGGATCACCCAGCATTGGTACAGGTGTAGTTCTTCGAGGGACTCGGCTAAGAACACTGCCGAGTAATACACCGAAGTAGAAGAAAAAATGCTAAGTTTGAACGCTTTTATGTTGAGGGCGGCTAATTTCGGGATCCACTTGTCGGGAAGGGAGATGACCGGTCGTGAGCCGGGTCTCCATAAGTGAAGATGGAGTTTGTGTATGGAGAGGTTTTGATCAAGGTATCCTTGTAGGGTTCGGTTGACTACCGAGACAAAGTTTTGTTGTCTGTTGTTGAACCATTCTTCGGAAGACTCGAGGTTATTATCACGGCAACGTTGTAGAGTTTGGTTTCGTTGTGTTTCGTAAATGAACCAATCTTGATAAAACTCGAGGTTGGGGCGGGTTGATCCTATGTAGCGCCATTGTTTGGAGAGCACACAAGTTCTGACAGCTTCTCTTTGGGAGAGGGAACAGAGTATGCGGTGAAGTATAGGTATTGGCAGTTGGGATATTCTGTCGTCCATCACTGTAGATAGCGTCTCCGTTGTTTCTGCCGCCTGCTTCTGCTTTTTTCATAGGCTTAATGTGACGTGAGAACGATTTTGTGGTCTGCTCAATGAATGAGCCCTAGTGCAGGTTATTGAAAAAGAAAGGTAAGGCTACAATCCCTTTCCTAAAAAGAAAACGTAACTCTTTATAATAATATTAAAAATTAAATAATAGACTCCATCCCTTTCCGCTTTCTGTTTTACGTGTGATTTTGCCCAGCACAGATTTTTGGTTTTCTATTCCTTTTTTTAAGAATCTGCTGAGATAGGAGTGGTCACGGTCCGGTTTTAACCGAAAAAAACCATCAATTCGGATCGCGAATTGGTTAAATGGTCAATTATAAAAACATTAAAAAATTCGGTTATTAATTTTTTAAAAATCTGGAATCACCGGTCCGATTAACGGATTACCTGCGGTAAACCGCCAGTTTAACCGGACCGGACCGATAAATATTATAAAACTATAACAAAAATATATATAACACACACACATTACATTCAGTCATTCATTATAATGCTTTGCTCTTATTATTTCAGGTGTATAAACGACTGAAAAATGAATGTTTGCTTGGATTCAATTTGCATAATTTAATATTCATCATTTTTGTATTTTTATGTTTATGGGACAAAATGTGTATTTTTATGTTTATGGGACAAATTGTATATTTTTTATTTTATTATTGTTGTTTTTCTTAATTTTTAGGCCCAAATAATCTCTTTTGGGCCCAAAATTAAAAAATAAAAATTAAGCCCAAAATGGAAAAAATAAAAATTGAAGGCCCAAAACAAGGATTTTGGATTTAACCGGCTAACCGTCAAACCGGACCGTCCAGTGCGGTCCGGATTGTGGTCGGTTAAAAAGTAAAATAGGTCCGGTTATGGACAAGAATAAAAATATCTGTTAGGTCCGGTTTGATCATTGTTTGGGCTAAAATCGGACCAATCCGAATCGTGAACCCCTATGCTCAGATAAAAAGTATTCATTAAATTTAAGGAAAATGCTACAATCACGTCACGGAATGATTCTGGAAGTTGCATGTTTATCTAATGACTAAAAACCCTCACGGAATCATTCCGCGACGGATTGTAGACTTTTCCTAAATTTAAATTACTTATGAAATTATATTTATAAATGTAAAATACATAATTAGTATGCAATAAAGTTTATCTATATTAATTTATCAAATATATTTTATGAAATTTAAATTGTGCAAAATTACATAAAACATGTCAATTTAAAATTAGTACACAACTCGTACTGTGCACGCAAGTGATAATAAATTACGTTATATTCGTTTCAAAATAAATGTTATTTTAAAAAATTTATTCAAATATTTGATTTAACTATAACGTATTCCATAAAATAATTACTTTGCTCAAATTTTTTCATATATTTAAAAATTGTTAAAATTATTAATGCTCATTTAAGAAGTTAGGAAGAAATTAGTTGATAGTTAGTAGAAAATAGTTGTTGTAATAATTAGTGCTCTAGATTATTCTTCTAACTACTATATATATGGGTGTAATCTATGGATGTATGGAATAAGCAGAAGTGAAGAAAGAAATAGAAGAGTTCAAAAATAATTCACAAATTACTATTTCTCATTTTCCATTAAAAAAAAATGTGATCCCATCAATTTTTGTCCCCCATAATAAAATCCTCTATAAAACTTGTCTAGTTTTTTTTCAGTTATACAGATACCAACAGTCAACTATCTGTTTTCTTACAATGGTATAAAAACTATAACTTGAGAGGCTAAGGATTTATATAATTGTTGTTCAGAAATACTTTTTTTTTTTTTTTGTGGTATATTTCATTAATATTTTGGGATGGTTAAACTTTTTGCTGATGTTGTACGTATGTGAATTGCAAGGTATTGAGAGTATGAGGCTTCTGAAGGTAGCGACTGGCAACTTGAATCAATGGGCAATGGATTTCGATTGCAACATGAAGAATATAAAGGGGTCTCATTTCCAAGTCTCATGAAAAAATGGAAGTCAGATAATTGAGTTTATTTAGCGTGAAAATTTTTCAGGAAAATCTAATGATACTTGTGCAATGCAATTTTAGTAGCGGACAACTGAGCTTAAGCTACTGTGATACATAGACAGTTTAGTAACTGTGTTTGCCATCCACAAAATGCATTTTATTTTTTTTTTTATTTTTTCTTGAATTAGAAATATAATCTCATGGGATTGGATGTTTTTTCCATCAAATATGCTAGCCCTGTGCTTTTCTGTTTGGATTGTAATTTTGTTTTTTGACTCTCTTTATCTCTTTGCAGTTGGGATTGCTGAAAAGAATTATTGCTCGGTGACTGGACGGATGGCATATTGTGCAGTTTCGATATGCCCATTATCAAAGGAGCAGAACGTTACAATTGCCGAGTACTGTGCTCGGGATAAAACTCTGTGACTGTAAATGGTGCATGCTTATATTATGGTTAGCATGATGGTCTGAGTTATTTTCCCGTACAACAGAATATTATTTATTTGTTTAAAGTAACAAATTTTGTGACTAAATTTCCCAACTCTAAAACAAGTTGTTATCTTTGAATCTAAATGCTTAGTTATAGATGTTATTGAATATAAATATTTACAACTGTTTATTCATTTTTTCCTTTTAACAGTTACAAGTAAGAACTTTTGAAATTTTACTAGTTTGTTATGTAATTGGAAAGCCACTCATAATGTTGAAAAAGAGTCATCTAGTCTGCAAGCAGACCTACCTGAAACTTTCAGTTATGATTACGCGATATATTTATCGAATTGTCTTAACCTTGTGGTGAAATTGCATTATATTTTGTGGTAACCCTTTTGCTGATTTTTTTGTTTGTAGATGGATGCTCTTGTATTGTGGTGAATCGAGATATCGTTACAGTTCTCATTGAATGACATTGAGTTGGTGGTTGCTCAAGTAGATCTAGATGTAATATGTTCAGTATCTGTTGCTTATTTGGGCTTTGCATTGTTGTTTTAAGTAGTATTTATGTTATTTCAAATTCGGTGAAGTTCACTATAGGATTTTATCACTTTAAGTTCAATATAGGATTTTATCCATGATGTTCTTGAAAAACTTTCCATATGCTGAATTTCGATTTAGATGTCTGGTTGCAGGTTACCAGTTTCAGAGAATCTATTAGTAGCTTTCATGAACAAGCCAGTTGCAAACCTATGTCTTATCTAGGCTTTCTTCTTCTTTCCGAGTTTAGTACCGAGATGCTTTGCGAGTTTAGTAGCTTTCATGAACAAGCCAGATGTTACTTCAGAGACGTTTGATTACTTTTTTTTNAAAATCCCGACCCAATTCTCAGCCATCCAGCGGGATATTTTCGATAACTCTGATATTAAGCGTAAAGAAGAGCGACGATTCGACGGTGAAAGAGGATATTCAATCTGAAAATTGATTCACACATTAATGACCGCTAGATTGTACATTATACAGATTGTATATTAATGACTATCAGATTGAATATTAACGAGTACCAGATTGCACCTTAGCATCTCAAATCGACCAAACTAAAATTTTTAGTAAAAAATTTATATTTTGGTTCGATTATCTGTTTTACTTTTAAAATGGCAGCTATTTCATTTCGATGTCGGCTTTAATTTTAATTTTTAAATAACTGAGTTGTCTGAGCTCTATTAAAAATATTACTATGATTTTTTTATATATTACGTATGCACATTACATATATAATAATTGAACACTAATGATCATCGGATTGCATAATATCTAACGAACTCGACCAAACTAAAATTTTCGATTCGAAATTTTAAAATTTGATTATATTATTTTATTTAAATTTAAAAAAAAAAATCGGTTATTTCAATTCAATGTATTGATTTTTTTTTTTATATAAACAAATGGTTGAGCTATATTAAAAATATTATAATTATTTTATTTATTTTTTTAATACAATAGTATTATATATTTATGTAAACATATAAAAATAGTAACTTACTAATTATATTATAATTAATTACAAACCCAAGAACTAAATTGGGATAATATGTCGTCCATTGCTATGGAGGTATTTTCCTCTCTTCCTGCATTCGTTTTTGAAGAGTTTATTAAAACATTGATTACACCGCGTTTTCTAATCGAAAACTTTTCAATCAGTCTTCTAGTATGACTTTGATTCTGTTAGAAACATGTGAAAACACTTCCAATGTAGTTTGTTACAAAATGAGTTATGTACAGGATGAATAGATTTGAAGGTGCAATTATATGCCTACGCAAATTTGTTACACAATACGTCTATTGAGTCTTAAATTTTATTTTTATTTTTTTAATCCCAATTTTTATTAACAGATATTAAGCCACGTCTCACTGAATATTTTTATCACTAATGTCAAACTAGTACAATTTTCGTGTATTATATGGGTGTTGAATTAGAAAGTTTTTGTATAAAGTATTTAATTTTTTATTTTTTTAACAACTAAAATAATTTAATTTTGTATAAAACATTACTTTGGGTTTTAATTACAACAACAACAACAACAAATAATTTAATTTTATATAAAACATTACTTTGGGTTTTAATTAGATTGTCAAATTATATTTTTTAACCATAATAATTAAACACCCGCACATTAAATGAAATGTCAACCCGTGTTGAATTTTTTTACTTATATCTTTTGAAAATATCGATATTATTTAGTATTACATAAGTACAAAAACATATATATTAAATAAATATAAATAATATGATGATATGTATATATGCATAAATGTAGAATATGTTTATTTAATATTAAGCAAAATAGATTAATTTTTTTACTTAATTAGATGTCTAATACTTCAAGTGTCGTATCAATCGTGCTTCACAGTTTTTTAACTTTATATGTAATTTTAGAATTTAGATAAATAATTATTTATTTTTATTAGATTGACAACATACCAATTAGATTTGAAATAAATATCATTTTTAAAAGAATACATACCAATTTCTATTACTTTATAATATAATTTATAACTTTATTTGATATACTTTAATTTAGTTTGATAAATAAATTTAAATTTTATTTATAAGGATATATATTACTGTTTTATATTTTATATATATAATAGGGATGTCAAATAAAAAATAATCAAATTGTGATTAATTTGATATATATGTAAAATTGATAAGAAATACAAAAGTTGTCAAATTTTAAAGTAGTTTATGATAACTAATTGCAGAACTAAAGAAAGAAAAAATCAATCATGGATTTAGTGTGATAAAAAATATTAATTTATATCCAAGCCTAATGTTTTGTATGTTTTTGTAGTTATTTTGTGTGTTTTTATGTGTTTTATTTGTGTTCGTTTTATTTTATTTTAGGTTTTTCCCGGTCCATTTAGTCGTATTTGCTCGTTTTTATGTTCTCATTTCGTTGGTGTCTTGTGCTTTCTATTTCTCTTTTTACCTTTTATTCTGTAGGGAAAGCTGTTCCAGAAAGTCGGCAAAAAATTTACTGAAAAATGCCGGAAAGTTACTCTAGACGAGGAGTAAAATATTTGAGGAGCGTGGGTCGAAGTTTCAAGTCAATCGGAGAAGCGTGCAAGAAGTTAGAGCTAATCGAGTCTCAAGAACAAGATTCGCAAGCTGCGAAATCCGAATTCGCGAGCTCCAGCTCGCGAGTGCTGCCTTTTCCGCGAATTTTACCCGCGAAAATGCCCACCTAGCCCGCGAATCCATCTTACCTCGCGAGTGTGGCCTAGCTTGCGAGTTTCCAGCCAGTGCCCGCGAACATCAAGTGCTAACTTGCGAACAGCCCCTAACCTGCGAGTTCAAATCATTTAATGTGTGTGTTTTTAGTGTGTGTTTGTGTATGTGTATAAATAGGATGCTTGTGTGTAATCTTAGGACACTTCTCTCATTTTCCCAACTTTTTAGTTGGGAAAATTTCCTCCTCCTTCTCTCTACATTTTGTTTTTCTTGGTTGGAGATACAAGACTTGACGTTTTCCGACGAGTTTTCCGGCAACTTTTCTGGTAACATTTTGGTTATCTTATTTTTATCTAAAATTTGTTCTCTACGCATTTTTCTCATCCATTCTTGTTATAGGAAGATGAGCACATAGTTTAGGGCTTGTTATTTCAAGTTGTGAATTGGTTGGAATGATGTGTTTATGTTCGATTTTGGGCTTTGCTCTATTTCCATTGCTTGTTTGTGTGTGTTAGGGTTCGATACGTGCTTATCTAGTATAGAGGTCCCGACTTGCTCGAAGCGGGATGATCTAGGGTAGAAGGCTCGTGTTAGAATACCTAGGATCACTAAGCTAGCATGTTTTCTTTTTGTTATTTTTATTTTCGTCAAGCTATGTAGACTCCGTGCAACCAATATTCGATATTTCTTTCGATTCTTGAATTGTTACCATTTGCTTTTAGGTTATTAGTTTAAATTCACGCAAAATCAATCTCAATCAAGCGAGTAGAATGTGTAGGATCTTATTTTTGGTCTTGTGAATTAACGACTAGATAGTGAACGAAGCTCCGAAAAGCCTTCCTTTGAGAACGACTCGAGTCGGGTAACTCGGTTACCACATGCCCAAAAATACTACAAACACCTAACTCCAAAGCATGATTTTTGTTCAAATAAGACTCCGAAGCATGAGAGTTTGCCACGTAGGCTCAACGCATTCTGAAATTATATATATATAGAGGGGATTATATATAGAGGGGATTTGATTGCAATTTATTATTAACATCTCAACATATATTATATGTATTATATTTATCATTAATATTCATATAAAAACTCACATTAATGGAGATGCTCTATTGACAACTTGAGAGTACACCTTATATTGCAATTTTTTTTAATTAATGCAATTTTTTATCCACATCTAAGTAATCAATAATTTTTATATTGTAATTTTATTTTATTTTATTACTATTATTTTTTATTTTATTTTTTTTTGCAATTTTTTATCCACAACAAAGTACTCAATAAATATTATATTTCTTTTTGATAGTCTAAAAATATCATATTAAAAAATAAATTTCTGAAATATCAAATTACTTTTTATAAAAAAAAATTAGAGATCTTATATAAATAGTTAAATAAAATAAGTAATAAATGAAAATTAATAAAATAATGAATAATTTAACATTAATATAACGAATTTTGAAGTTTATTTTTCAACAAAATTATGTTTAGTGAATTTAGTGAACAAAGTTATAACATCTTGAACAGCTAGCTTGGTGAACCGGTCTGAGTGGTTAGCTCTACTACGGCTTTAAGGGAACTTCAACTTGATATTAACATCTGAGGAGATATGAGGAGATGTTCTAAGTAAAGGGACTTTGTAAGAACCCACATCAGTCGGGTCGCGATGTCGCTACGACGATTTTGAGACCTCAGAGCCGTATAATAATAGGAAACATAACCCTACGAAGGATAAAAAGTATATCTCGTGAAAGAGTCTAAAAATATGACAAAATAAAATGACATATTTCTAATAAATTAGAAAAATAAGTAATGGGCACATTAAACAGGCATCCCCAGTCCCCCTAGCTAAAATGACTATTGACTACCAGTTACCGTCTCAAAGGATTTGAAGAGAAAATATTCTAATCCCATAGTNATAAAACTTCAAAATAAATAAAAATTAGAACAAAAGAAAAGCCTCAAATTACAAATTCAAGTCCTCAAAACCTGGAAAGTTTTCAAAGCAATGATAGCCAAGATCAATGCCTTAGTTAATGGAGGGAACGAAAACTGAATATTTGAATTTCAATAAAAGCAACCGAGGTACGTGCGTCCTTACACATTCTGACATCTCCATTTCAGTCTGAGGCGAATCTTCCCGTCTTGTGCCCGGTTTCGCAACTCCCCCAACTTCGTCCACTGCATGATTTGCCATCATTTCCCGTCGAGAGTTTCCCTATTTTCCTCGATCGACAAACAAGAAACAGGACGTTCGTAAAATCCCAGTACCAACACTTCTCTTTACCTTAAAAAGTATCAAATACCAACTTCTCCACCACCACAGGCAGAGAAGAGGACGGCTGTCAACAGTACCAAACAGCGGCCTTTAGGACGTGTTGCCCTTCATCCTCAGAGACAGAGAAATCTGAGACCCACTCAATGCCTCAAGCATTCCTTTTAGCTTCAAAAACCATGACAAGATGTTGATACATCATACATGGATCATCAAGCACATGCGAGAAAAGGTTTATATTCGACTCCCACTTCTTGGAAGTAGTCTGTTACTAAAGAGAACATACGAGCTTTGAACACAAACTTAACAATGTTTGGAACTCAAATCGAACCTTTCCCGACTAAGTCAGTCGTAGAAAGGGTCAAGCTTGGATCAGGAGAATATGGTGAAATTCTCTAAAATAATTTATTACCAACTCTTTCAACATAAGACATGTATGATGAACATATAGAAGCTCAACACTCTTCCTCACTAAAAATCAAATTTGTGTAATTGATCAAATTGCCTACTATTTCACTCATATTAATTTGCTATGCAAGGTTATGACTTTAGGACTATTTTTTAATAAAAATCATGATCACAGAATGTGAAACCCATTATATCACTTGAAAAATTTAAACCAATTTGTATATTTTAATTGTCCAAAATTGATTTCAAAACCAGGCAAAAAAAAATTGTCATTTCAGTCTATTTATTTANAAAAAAAAAAAAACAAGAAAAAAAAAAGAAAAAGAAAAAACCAGCTCCTGACAACGACGAAAAGCTTATAATAAGAGGGATATATATTAAATAGAAAAGCAAGTGAGCATAGTACTTATGCTGTTGTCCAACCTCTCCACTTCAACTCAAGCCATATTAACCCATCATACTGACTATGAGTCTGTTAGAAACATTCTAACATCTCCATTTCAATCTAAGGTGAGTATTCCTGTCTTTCTTTCATTTTCGCAACTCCCCCAGCTTCTTCCACTGCATGAGCTGCCATTGTTGCCCGTCGAGACTTTCCACAACCACTTGCTCCAAATCGTGCCTCCAAAAGCAGGGCTCGGTCGTGACTTTCTTGTTTGCAATATGCATGATGTTTAACTGAAACTTCGATAGCCTGTAGTTCTTGGCGTTCACGAGCCTACAACCCCATATGTGACTCGGTAGACAAACACGAAACAGGCCATTCGTAAACCCCAAGTACCAAGACGCTGAGCGACATTCACAAGTAAAAAAATCCAAGTCCCACACCACCACAGGCTGCTCGTCACTGATAACAGCACTACAGGGCACGTCCTTAGGGCCGCTGTATATCTCCAGAATCAGAGAAACCTGAGACCCACTTAGTGCCTTTAGCACTCGTCTCAGCTTAAGGAACCATGAATTGAGGTCTAAATCGGGATCATCCTTACGTGAATAGAGGAGTACTTTTGAGGACCACTCCTTGGAAGTAGTGGTCCTGAAAGAGAATGTGTCCGGTGCTAGGGAAATACGAGCAGTGAATTCAAATCTGACAATGTTCGGGGCACAAATCGTAACTCCTTTAAGCAATATTTTGGTTGTCGAGATGGTCAACTGCTTGACCGAATCTCTTGCAAGATGGAATTCCTCGAAACCGGAGCAATTATCTAGGGTCAACCTCTCAAGAGTCGGGCAGCCGAGCGATAACAGGTCAAACGACTTGCTCGACAGAATCACACTATTGAGACTCAAACTCGTGAGACGAGAGAACACGAATGCGCTTTGACGGTGACACCAAATCCATGGGCCCCAGATAGATAAAAGTCCAAGCACAAATACACACACATTCTCCATGTCAGCTGAAGAAGAGAAATTCAACCCCTTGCCATGCATACGTGGAAGTGGGACCATGCAGAAAATAGAGAAGCAAAGATGGAATGAAGTAGAAGACAAAGTAAGGATAGAATAGTAAATGGGAGTAACCTTATCTTGTTAGGGTTTTAGAATGTGTGGTTGGTATTGTTTTAAGATAGCCATATAAATATGTATTTAGTTATCATTGGAATTAATGTTCAATACACAAAAATCATAGCTGCCGTTTTTCATGAATATGCTCTGCGAATGAACAACTACTTCCTGATCTCATTTGTTTATTTTCATATCATGAAGATCACCATTTTCCTTTAATAGAGACTGTCTCGAGATTCGGGACATCAATTTCGATGCTACACCCTTCGATCCTCTCAGAATCACGCAGTTCAAAGTGCTTGAGCCCAGACAATGCTGCCTCGCTCAGCCTAAGGTTTCTCAACTCACAACAACTCCTAAGGACGAGGCGCCTGAGAAAAGGACAGCCCAAAATTATCTTCTCGAAAGTGCGGCCATCAACTTGTACCTGTTCGAGGGTGAGTGTGCGCAGACTTTTAAACCGCACGCTCTCGACTGGGCTCAGCCTGCCATTGCACAGGTGCAGTTCTTCGAGGGACTCGGCTAAGAACACTGCCGAGGGCAGGCAGTAATATGAAAGAATGATTAGTTTGAACGCTTTTATGTTGAGGGCAACTATTATGGGGATCCATTTGTCGAGAAGGGAGATGACCGGTCGTGAGTCGGGGCTCCTTATATAGAGATGGAATTTGTGTATGGAGAGGTTTTGATCAAGGTATCCTTGTAGGGTTCGGTTGACTACCGAGACAAACTTTTCTTGTGTGTTGTCGTCGAACAAATATTCAAAAAATTTGAGGTTAGGGCGGGTTGATCCGAGGTGGCGCCATTGTTTGGAGAGTAGACAAGTTTTGACAGCTTCTTTTTGGGGGAGGAAACATAGTATGTGGTGAAGTATAGGTATTGGGAGCTGGGATATTGTGTCGTCCATGACTGTGGACGGAGTCTCCTCACTCTCAGTTTCTGCCGCCTGCTTTTGCTTTTCCATATGCGATAATGTGATGTGAGAACGATTTTGTGGTTTGCTGAATGAATAAACCCTAGTGCTGGTTATTGTTAATTAAAAAAAAAAAAAAAGGTAATTCTTCCTAATAATAATAATAATTAAATAGACTCCATCCCTTTCTGTTTTAGATGTGTTGTTGCGCACAATAATACAGAGTTTTGGTTTTCTATTCCTTTATAGATACGGAATAATATTTTGCGCACAACATATGTTGAACTGAAACTCCGAGAGCCTATAGTTCTCGTCCGACTTGCTCACGAGCCTACAACACCTTACGAGACTCGGTCGACAAACACGAAACAAGCCGTTCGTAAACCCCAAGTACCAATTCGCCGTGCGACTTTTACAAGTACCAAAAGTCAAGTAGCGCACTGCCACAGGAGGCTCGTCGCCGAGAAAAGCAGCACTACAGGGCACGTCCCGCGGGCCGACGTCCATTTGCAAAATCAGAGAAATCCAAGACCCACTTAGTGCCTTTAGCACTCGTCTCAGCTTAAGGAACCATGGATTGAGGTCTAAATCGGGATCATCCTTACCTGAAGACAGGAATACTGTTGAGTACCACTCCTTGGAAGTAGTGGTCGTGAAAGAGAATGTGTCCGGCACCTGGGAAATATGGGCAGTGAATTCAAATAGGACAATGTTCGGGGCACAAATCGTAACTCCTTTTAGCAATATTTGTTCGGTCCAGATGTTCAAGAACATGACCGAGTCACTTGCAAGATAGAATTCCTCGAAACCGGAGCAATTAACTATGGTCAAGCTCTCAAGAGTCGGGCAGCCGAACGATAACAAATCGAACGTCTTGCTCGACAGGATCACACTATTGAGCTCCAAACTCGTGAGACGAGAGAACAATAATGCGCTTTGGCGGTGACACCAAATCCATGGGGCCCTTATGTACACCGTCTCGATATTCGGGACATCAATTCCGATACTACACCCTTTGATCCTTTTGGAATTACACAATTCAAAGTGCTTGAGCGCAGGCGATCTCAGCCTAACGTTTCTCAACCCCTTACATCTATTAAGGACCAGGCGCCCGAGCAAAGGGCAGCCCGACAATATATTCTCCAAAGTGCCGTCATAAACTTTGACCCGTACGAGGGCGAGCGTGCGCAAACTTTTAAACTTCCCGCTCTCGACCGAGATCAGCTTGAGATTGCGCAGATGTAGTTCTTGGAGGGACTCGTAATACTCCGGAGTAAATGAAAGATGGCAAGTTAGTGAATGAAAGTTGAGTATGAACACTTTTATGTTGAGGGCGGTTATCATCGGGATCCATTTGTCGAGAAGGGAGATGACGGGGTTCGATATGTCGAGATGGAGTTTGTGTATGGAGAGGTTCTGATCATGGTATCCTTGTAGGGTTCGGTCGACTATGGAATTAAAGTCTTGTTGAGTACAGTCGAGGTTGGAGCGAGTTGATCCTTTGTGGCGCCATGGTCTGGAGAGGAGAGAGAGAATACGTTTGATGGAGACAAACTTTTCTTGTTTGTTGTCGAACCATTCTTCAGACAATTCGAGGTTGGGGCGGGTTGATCCTATGTGGCGCCATTGTTTGGAAAGTACACAAGTTTTCACAGCTTCTTTTTGGGAGAGGAAACAGAGAATGTGGTGAAGTATAGGAATTGGCAATTCAGATATTCTGTCTTCCATTGCTACGGAGGAGCTACTCTCCTCTCTTTTTTTCAAGAGTTTATTAAAACACGAGTTACTCAGTTTTCTATTAAAAAACTTCTCTTTTAATATGAGTATGAATCTGTTAATTTGCCTATTCCTATTCAAATTTGTATATCTATTTTGTCTCAAATTGTCTCAGTTTATTTATTATTAACAAATTTTAAGGCACATCTCACTGAATATTATATTTATCGTTAATATCAAATTTGATTACAATTTATTTATTAATTAACATCTCAACATATATTATATTATATATATTATATTTTTTAACGAAGGTGCTTTGACAACTTGAGAGTACACCTTATATTGCAAATTTTCTATTATTGCAGCTTTTTATCCTCATCTAAGTACTCAATAATTTTTATATTGCAGTATTTCTTTTATTTTGTTTTTTGCAATTTTTTATCCACATTTAAGTACTCAATAAATACTATTTTTCTAGTTTATAGTCTAAAAATATTATAATAAAAAGATAATATTTCTAAATATCAAATTACTTTTTTTATAAAAAATTTAGAGATCTTATATAAATAGTTAGATAAAAATAATAAGTAATAAATGAAGTTAATAAAATATTTGTAAAGAAAATTTTTAATATTAATATAACAGATTTTGAAGTGTAATTTTCAACAAAAATATTTTTTAGTGAATTTTGAGAAAAAGTTATAAGTCATACAATGGATATTTTCGATAAATTCAAAATAGTGAAGTGGACAAAGTTATGGAGATTTAATTTCAACAATAATATATTTTAGTAAAAATTATTTTTATTAATAGAAATATTTGAAATACTTATGTCATGCATTAGTATGCATGTCTTGTAACAGGACAATCCATGTCGTATTTGAAATACTTACGCATAAAACAAACAAACGACACTACTTACAACAATCATCATGTGTTGTGTGTTTGTGCTTATATTTTACTGTTGATTTAAAATAAAAAATAAAAATCACTCAACCATCAAAACAAAACTTTTACTAAAACATCTATATCTTTGGGTATATTATTAAAAAAATTAATAAAGATCTTCACGAACCTTTGAGATCATATTTCAATTCAATCTATATATATCAATATTTGGTTTAAATCTTCTCAAATTTCTTAATGAGCTAATAAATTTTATTTTTATTTAATGAACTAATGTAATAGTAATAGCCAAAATTGCCCAAAATATTTAGGCGGGAAAATTTGTGACAAATATAGTAAAATGGATTGGTTCATTATATAGATATAGATTTCCTATTATAATCATTGGATTGTATATGTATTTTAAAAGTTGACAACTTTTATATTTCTTATCAGTTTTACATATATAATATATCAAATTAATCATCTTTTGATGAGCTTCGATTTGACATCATATTGTACATACAAAATAAATTATATTTATCTTTATAGTAATAATAAAATTATTTATTAAAATTAATTAGAAAATAAAATTTTTTCTCAATTAATATATTTATAGTTAATGTAGGTTATGAGTTAGAAAATTATTATAAATATAACATAAGTAAGTCCCACAAGTTACACGTGTCGTACTAAAATATATAATAATATACATATTTTTCTAAGAAGTATTTAATTTTTCAATCACTTATTCATTAGTTTTAAATTTTAAGAAAACATTTGAGCAAGCACCCGCGTAATACACGGGTGTTGTACTAGTTTTCCGTTCTTCCTCGATTAGAAAAATTGTCGTTGATAAGGATCTATCAAATAAACCCAGTTTGAATGACCTCCCCTGACCTTTTTGCATGAAGACCTGAAAAGGCATCGAAAGCATTTCGACATAGAACGCCTGCCGATCAAGTCAATCTCTTGATCATAATGAAAGTAGGCCTAATTGTCGGTAAAATCACGACTTTGCAACTTTTTGCCGTTTTAACCAACTTTTAGAATTTAGCAAACATAACACCACTTTGACTATTTTTGGCAATTCGAATCACCGGGCCCAATTTCGGGCTTTGTCTGTTGACGTGGCTGATGACATGGCGATTTCTGCTGACATAGTATTTTTATGCTGGCGTGGCTCCTGACATGGACTTATATCATCCTTTGATGGCTCGCCAGGTGTAATCCATCAGCTTCTTGTCGAGTGCCTCCTTTGATGGCTCGCCAGGTGCCGTCATGGACTTATATCATCCTTAAATTCCACCCAACCACAAATATATAACTGACTCTGAACCAAACCGGCTCGCTTACGAGCCTACAGCCCCATACGTGCCTCGATTGACAAACACGAAACAAATCATTCGTAAAGTCCGAGTGCCAAGATTTCGTGCAGCATTTGTCCAATGATGATTGTAGTAAAATTGAACCAACACCTATTTTTTTCTCTTCTTAGGCAGAGATGGTGAAATTCTCCAAAATAATTTGTTCCCACACTCTTTCAATATAACACATGTATGAACATATAAAAGCTCAACACTCTTCCTCACTAGAAATCAAAATGTATAAACATATAAAAGCTCAACACTCTTCCTCACTAGAAATCAAATTTGCTTCACCGGGATTATTTTTGTTGGGTACTTGATCAAATCACCTACTATTCCACTCAGATTAATTTGCTACGCATGGTTATGACTTGACTCAGATTATGAAACTCCTTAGTTGCAAATGATCACATATCAATTGAAAATTTTAAATAATTTATATTTAGATTGTTTTATTTTTACTAATAACCAAATCTTGAAATTGTGATATGTTCATTATCTATAATTTTGGTATTATAATACATTATGTATATCTATGCATGTACACATAATAATTACTAGTAATAAATCAAATTAAGAAGATAAATTATTATAAGTAATAAATTCAAAACCACATTTAATTCTAAAGGCAAAAATTCAATTTTAGTCCGCTAACTTGTCCATTGTCCACTTTTGGTACACTATTTTTTCCCTCATAAAAAATGGTCCATTATGTTACACTTTTCATCAGTTTTAGTACACTAATCCCGTGGCCCGGGATTACGAGATGTCAAATCGGGTTTTTATCCTACCACGTCAATATTTTATCCCTCCACGTAGGTCCAATCTCGGTCCACGTCATCTTGTAATCCCGCCAACTGGAGTAGCGTACTAAAACTGATGAAAAATGTAACATAATGGACTATTTTTTATGAGGAGAAAGATAGTGTACCAAAAATGGACAATGGACAAATTAGCGGACCAAAATTGGATTTTTCCCTAATTCTAAATGTATACTATGGGTATTTAATGTGGCATATATAGTGTGAACTATTGGGTACTATTTAAAGAAAAAAAATTAGTCTGAATATAAAAATTGCTATTTATCGAAAAAAAAATCNAAATAAAAAAAAAAACAAATAAATAAATAAAACTCAAATTACCAATTCAAGTTATCTGGAAAGTTTCAAAGCAATGATATCAAAGAAAACCTGACATTTGAATTTCAATAAAAGCAACCGACCTACGTTCGCTCCTTATACATTCTGACATCTCCAATTCAATCTAAGGCGAATACTCCCGTCTTGCGTTCGGTTTCGCAACTCCTCCAGATTCGTCCACTGCATGAGCTGCCATTGTTGCCCCTCAAGACTTTCCACAAACACTTGCTCCAAATCGTGCTGCCAGAAGCAGTGTTCGGTCCCGAGGCTCTTGTTTGCCAGCAAGATGTTGAACTGAAACTCCGAGAGCCTGTAGTTCCTGGCCGGCTCGCTCACGATCCAACCACACCATACACGACTCGGTCGACAAACACGAAACAAGCCCTTCGTAAACTCCAAGTACCAAGACTCCGTGCGACATTCACAATTATCAAAATATAAGTCCCCCACCACAATAGGCCGCTCGTCACGGAGAACAGCACTACAGGGCACGTCCTGAGGGCCGCCGACCATCCGCAGATACAGAGAAATCTGAGACCCACTTAGTGCCTTGAGAACTCGTCTCACCTCAAGGAACCACCAATTGACGTCGAAATTGGGATCAGCCACATACGAAGACAGGATTACAGTTGAATACCATACCTTGGAAGGAGTGGTCGTGAAAGAGAATGTGTGCAGCGGCTGAGGAATACCGGCAACCAAAGTAAATTTGAGAATGTTCGGGACACAAATCGTAGCTCCTTTAAACAATATTCTGTTTGTCGAGATGGTCAGCCACTTGACTGAATCACTTGCAAGATGGAATTCCTCGAAACCGGAGCAATTATCTAGGGTCAGCCTCTCAAGAGTCGGGCAGCCGAACGATAACAAGTCAAACGACTCGCTCGACAGGATCACACTACAGAGATCCAAACTCGTGAGACGAGAGAAAAACAATGCGCTTTGGCGGTGAGACCAAATCCATGGGCCCCCGATGCGGACCGTCTCGAGATTCGGAACATCGATTTCAATGCTACGCCCTTCGATCCTCTCCAAATTAACCAATTTAAAGTGTTTGAGCCCATGGGATGCTGTCTCGCTCACTAGTCTAACGTTTCTTAACCCCTGACAGCAAAAAAGGGTCATCCGCACGAGCAAAGGGCAGCCCAACATTATGTTCTCGAAAGTCCCGTCATTAATGAGGAAGCATTGGAGGGTGAGTGTGCGCAAATGTCTGAACCGCACGCTCTGGACCGGGCTCATCTTGCATTGGCACAGGTGTAGTTCTTCGAGGGACTCGGCTAAGAACAATGCCGAGGGTAGGTCGTAATACGTCGGAGTATATGAAAGAAAGTTGAGTTTGAACACTTTTATGTTGAGGGTGGCAATTATGGGGATCCATTTGTCGAGAAGGGAGATGACCGGTAGTGAGACAGGACTCGATAAGAGGAGATGGAGTTTGTGTATGAAGAGGCTTTGATCAAGGTATTTTTGTAGGGTTCGGTTGACTACATCGACAAAGTTTTGTTGTGTAGTGTCGAACCATTCTTCGGAGAAGTCCAGGTTTGGGCGGGTTGTTCCTATGTGGCGCCATTGTTTGGAGAGGAGACATGTTCTCACAGCTTCTCTCTGAGAGAGGAAACAGAGAATGTGATGACGTATGGGTATTGGTAGTTGGGATATTCTGTCGTCAATGGCTGTAGACAGAGTCTCCTCTGTTTCAGCCGCCTGCTTTTGCTCTGTTTCAGCCGCCTGCTTTTGCTTTTCATAGGAGATAATGTGATGTGAGAACGATTTTCTGATCTGCTGAATGAATCAACCCTAGTGCAGGTTATGGTTAATAAAAAAAAGGTAATTCTTTATAATAATAGTAATTAAATAGACTCCCTCCCTTACTGTTTTTTTAGGTGTGTTTATCGAGTTTTGGTTTTCTATTCCTTTCTATAGAGAATAAATATCCGTTTTTGCTATGAAGTCACAGTTGCCTCCATAATAGAGCCAACCTTCCATATACCATAAATAAACTTACCATATTTTTTGATTACTTAAATAACACTAATATAATTTTATTAATATGGTAGGTTTATTTGTTGTATATAGAAGGTTGACTCCACTACGGAGCCAATTGTTGGCTTCATAGGGCAAAATTTTCAAAATTTCTAAAATCGGCAAGTTATTTGACTACAATATTGTTTATACATAACTGTCCTTCTAGTAAGGAAATTAACAATTCATGTATTTCCTAGTATTAATTACTCCCTTCCTTAATCATGTACTAGCATTCGATTGTGTGCAAATGTACATATATAAATTAAGTATTATAAGATATTTATATGTATATAATACTAAAATATAAGTTAGATAATGGTATTAAAGTTTAAATATAGAGTATTATAAGTTATATTTATGCATATAATGCTAAAAGTATAAGTTATATAATGATATTATGTTTTAAAATTTGATCACTGGTTAATTTGGATATGATAATCGTTATAATTCAACTTAAGAAGATACATTATTATAAGTAATAAATTCAAAATAAATTATTCAAGATAAATTATTTGGCATTGTGTGTACATTGAGTACTATTTGAAAAAAAAAATCTTAATTGGGTATGATAATCGTTATTTACAAAAAAACAAAAATAAAAAATAAAAAAAATAATAAAATCAAAATAAGTTAAAATTAAAACCAATAAAAAAATTAAATAGTTATTTAAGTATGCAGAAAAATATCTGAAATTTTAAACTGCATATTACCAAAAAAATGCTTATTTATCATAGATAAAGTGCATACATTCTGAAAATGTATGCCAGCAAAGCAACTAAGATTTTCATCTTACTGTGGTTGTCGTTGTTGTCACTTAAATTGACCTAGGTCTCAGCCTTCTCTGTCACCGCGAGAATCGACAAGAAGTAGGTCGACTAGTGCTTCAAATATTCAAGTTTGGAGTAAACAAATCATAATATGCAATTGATATTGTTGGTGTATATTTAGTTTACTAAGGACACGTTTGTTTAGGTAGATAGGACAAGATTGAAGCCCTTGTCTGGCGGATATCCAGCGTTTGTTTACACTGATTACGGCCCGGCAGATTGGATGAGGCCCGCGATGAATAGTGCACTAATCCAGGTTTGCGGGGACTATTAGGTCGGGGCCACGGGGTATGATTCGATAATGTCTGCACAGTATCTGAAGTGGGAATGTCTAATATGCCCCAAAAAGTAAATTTACCTGTCTATAGTGTCCTCAGTCAACGGGTAAATTACTACCCCATACCACTTCCATCTTCCACCACAAGAACAGACAAAAGAAATGGACCACAATAATTGACCTGTTTACGGAAGTCCCCCTCCCTCCCTCGAGGCTCGTATCTGCGTTCCCAGCCGCGGCCAAATACTTAGATCTGACCATCTCAAGGCGGATCAGGTGACGATCCGTATCGCTTGTGCACACATTATATCAGATCTGCGTTCCCCATTCATATATATATTTTTTTTTTTTTGGTTTATACCTGGTATGTGTTTAAAGTGGTAATTTTTACAGTTGCAGGGGCTGAAGAACATGGGTACTTCCATATCAAGGCGTCTTTCTAAGATAAAGTTTGTACTTCAATCTCACATTTGTTTTACTTAATTTTGGTTGTGGAATTCTTTGTTTTAGAAGGTTCCAAATTAGTTGTTAATATAAATGTTATGTTTTGATGCTTCATTATCAGCCGTTAAGACCCAGAATTGTAACAACCGAATCATTACATCCCGCTTCTATTTTTATTCGGTTCGTGCTAGTAATTATGCGTTCACCAAACCATTTTTTATTTTCTTTTTTAAATTTCTTTTTGTGTTTCATTTTCGGGGTCCTATAGAAGATGTTATCTACCGGTCGGAGGGCTATATAAGAACATTTACCGATGATGAGTACAACGTATTGAAATATATGGTACCCCGGTACCAAACGGCACTCGGGGAGACATAACAACTAATCATCCGGCACAACATTATGTTCGTTATTTTTCGCATAAGTTACATAATCGAAAAAACAATAATTGTTAAACGAGAAACCCAAAAAAATGCGGCAAACAAATAAATTAAAGAAAGGGCTATAATATTGTATCAAACACGATGCTGATGTCGATGCATAATATTATCCATGTTTTCGCTACTCGCTAAACAACTGCCGAGATATTTTAATGTTTGATGACTACATTATTTTATGTATGAAGAAGTTATTACAAATAGACAAACATAAAGAAAAAATGTTGTAGAGTTTATAAATATGTGTACCAAAAATAAAATTTGCATGATTAATCTTTTCTACTTTTGCATGATTAATGTGTTGAAGAAAAAATTGCATTTGTACCAAAAATAAAATTAAAAAAAAAAGAAAATTTTGTATGATGGGTAAATTAATTTTAAATGGTACCAACAGAAATGGGATCGGCTTACATATGGGACTATAGATATGTATTTCACACAGAATAAAAAAGACAGGTCGAAAATAACTGTACAAACCAAAGCCATGCAGAAAAAGAAAAAAAAAAAAAGAAAAAAAAACAAAAAAACAAAAGAAGAGCACTTACGTGTGCGGATGAATTAAAATATGCAAAACAAAAGAGGGGCAAATATGTAAATGTGCTCCTTGTCAGAGTTTGGATCTAAGGAAACAAACACACAAAACAAATCATACAAATAATCTCATCTTAAATGAATCACTCCTAACAAACATAAAATTAATCTTGTCTCTACATTCTAATCTTGGTCTTAAGGATTAAAGTTATCTAATCTTGTCTTCCTAAACAAATGTGCTCTAAACCAAGTTGGAGTTGTGTCTCTCGAGGAGGACTATTTGGATTGGAAAAATTAGATATCTATATCTATACTTATATCATAAGAATTACTATTTACCAAAAATAGTAAGCAAAAAAATATAACAACATTAATTACATACTATTTCGGGCAAGTTTTGTTTTTATCTTTTATTTATTAAATGAGAAACATTTAAATATGCCTTCAATCACGGATACTAAGTTTTGATAACCAAATTGCTCAATTTTGGTACAAATAAAGCTTTTAAACATTTGAGTTTTATTTTAATACCAATCCTTTTCAAAATTAATTGATATCAACATTCACTAATTTGGGCAAAAAAAACTTGCAAGTTCATAACCCATAACTAGTACGTAACCCGTGCGATGCACGGGATGTAAAATTTGGAAGAATAATATAACCTCACGTGCATTAGTATCGAAATTGAAATCATTAAAATACATAGGAACATTGTTGAATCATAAAAAGTTCGGTAACAATCATATATTATTAAAAACCTCCTTGTACACAACATTATGAGTTTGATTATTTGGTAGCTCTTCATTATCACAAACTAATATTTTCAAAAGAGACAAATTCTAAAAATCAAACTAATATTTTTGGTGAACAAACTAATATTTTTAGGATTGGTGAACAAACTAATATTTTAGGATTTCTAGGATTTGTCTCTTTTTTGTGAACAAACTAATATTTTAGGATTGGTTATATGAATAAGGCTACCTGTTTTTTGTGTTCTTTTCATTCATTCTCATTCAAACAATCCGATGACTTGTATAATGAAATCCGAATCTTAAGCCGAAATATTTAAGAAAAGAGTTTTTAAAAATTGAAAAGTCAAGGCAATCAGTTCAGATTAATTAAAGGTCAAAGAATATTCGCTCCTTGGAATAAAGACGTATGCTATCATTAACCAAATATCCGGTTATTGATATAGAGTGGTTACCAAGAAATAGAACGCGATAAGGACGCTTCATAGAAATATCAATGGGATAAGGTCATAACAGATTGTTATACATTTTAACGATAAAAGGTCAGATGGAATGATTTATTATAATTATGTTGTAATTAATGAATTAATTAGATGTGTGAAAATGACATAATTAATGAGAAGTGTAAAAAGGACATAATTAATGAGAGTGTGAAAAGGACATAATTAATGAAAAGTGTGAAAAGAACATAATTAATGAGAAGTGTGAAAAAGACATAATTAATGAAAAGGATGAAAAGGACAAAAACTTACCAGTTTTGGAAAATACTTAATGCAAATCCGACATTGACTATAATTTGACCTACTATTTTGGATAAATGTTAATTCTTATTATATAAGTATAGATAATTGTGTGCAATTCATCAAAATCAATGATATCACATAATTATGATTTGTATGTTTTCAGTCGTGTCGAGTTTTTAAAGAAAAAAAATTATTTGGACGCCAAAAAATTTTGTGTAATAAAATAAACTTGCCGATCAAAAAAATAAAAAATCAACCGACACACACTCAAATTCTAAGAGTTCTTTTGACTAATCGTAAACACCCAAAAAATTCGAACATAAGGGTAAAAAAATCGATCATAAAAACCTTAAAAATAAAAATTCCACATTTATTTTTCGGGCTAAACAACTAAGATCAACAAAATCTACCGGCGCACACTCAAATTCGAAAGATTCTTTTAATTAATTGTAAAAACCAAAAAATTCGAACATGAAACTACAAAAATCAAAAATAAAAACTCTCAAATTGAACAAACCATATTTTGTTTCATGCAAAACACCTAAAACTAACTAAATGAAAACTAAAAAAAAATATGTATTTATAAGACCCTCAGTGTTAAAACGGTAAAGTTGGAAGAAGATAGATGAAAAAAGACGAAAGAAGAAGCTGGAAGCGGCGAAAAATAAAGGAAGAAATGTAGCCCTTGGTCCGATAATTTCACTATTTATACTATGTTCAGTCTAATATAACCCGATTTGCGTTGAGTAATCTGGATCATTAGATTATTTTTTCTGTTTTGTTTGGACCGATATGAACTTTTGAAGCCAACATTGTAAATTCGGCCAATATGAACTTTTTGAAGCCCACATTTTTCAAAAACATTCATATTTTACAAGCCCAACATGATTAATATAAATAATTACACGTATCTTATAATAAGTATTTGTTAGGTTTAATTATAATCAGTGATCCGTGCTTTATTATATAATTTAAATTTAAATACAAAATTATGTTTTAAAAAGGACGGAAATAATAAAGCCTCGTGCATCGCACGGGTACTGTACTAGTATATATAATAAGAATTACTATTTACCATAAATAGTAACTAGAAATTTTAGGACAACATTAATTGCTTACTATTTTTGGATTTTTTTCTATTTTTTTAACATTAATCCTTATCATCATTTGACTTAGGCGGCCTAAAAAAGTAGAATTTAATTTGAAAAATTCAAATCAAATCGTGTCCTAAAAATTTATATTTTTGTTAAATCCCTCATAATACAATCCCATATCGATACCATTTTTGAATTTATTTTCTTTAAACATACAACAGAAACAGTATCCACGTACACAATTTATGCCTTCCTAAATTTAAGTAATTTGTTGGTCCCCAAATTAGTGAAGATTCCTTGCACGAAGGATTTATACAATTTTGAAAGAATTGGGAACTTGGTATAAACCCATTACATACGATATTGGTTTTGGAATTTGAATTTTCAAATTTCTTCCATATACATACGCAACTATTCACTTCCTAAAATTAATTAATTTGTTTAATCAAATACGATATTGTGGTATTGGTTTTGGAATTTGAATTTTCAAATTTCTTCCATATACATACACAACTATTCACTTCCTAAAATTAATTAATTTGTTGAATCAAATACGATATTGTGGTCCGCCAAAGTCAGTGGAGATATTTTGCATGAAGACTTTTTACAATTTAAAAATATTAGAACTCTTGGTATAAACATTTTGGATAGCCTTTTTTCACAAAATAAATTTGAGATAGATTAGGAATTTCAAATCAATTCAAATTCATCTTTGATTACAAGTTAAAATTTTCCAAATTTTATTTTAAGAATAACATTTATGGTTTCAAACTCGAGATAATGAGTTTGTAAATAGATAAATATTTTTTTATTTTCTAAAATATTTATTAAAAAATTATAATGACAATAAATTTTATGATAAAATAATAAATTAAGTATTATACCAGAATATGTAAAATTATTATTTTTATATTAAACAATAAATATATATACTAAAATCAAATTTATATTAGTATCAACGTTTTAGCGAGATAATATGTTAATTAATTTACATACTAGAGCTTATAATTAATTTACATAATAGAGCTAATAGGCTGAGGTTTAACGTTATGACTAAAAAATAACGATGTTCAAAAGAGGTGTAAAATAGATGATCTAACTCTATTTTTTTAAACATAATGGAAAGGTCATCGGGAAACTCAGACTCGTGCATCGCACGGGCTACGTACTAGTTTCTTCTCTTAACTAACACCTAATTGAGGTTTGTTCCTGCAAATTCGTGATTTCGAAAAACATCTCATAAATGCCAAAAAAACGTGATATTTTGTCCTGGGCTGGGAAAAGCAGATCATTTTGACATGTCAAGTCAAAATGAATTGGATTTGTTTTCAATTTTATTTTTTTATGTGACACATCAGTTCACGATTTTTTGGAGAGAATTTTGGCCAGAATATAAAAACTCTAACAAATGTCCCAATTCCCTACCAAAATTCCCTCTCCAATTTATGCAAAAATTCACTAGAGCAAAAATTGGGGAGTAGAGGACGATGGACAATTTAATAATGTTTAGGCCACCTGAACAGTTTGAGTTTCTACCACCCGATTCTGGTAAGTTGATGTTTGTAAATTTTTTGAATATAAAATTCGTCAAACGAATATAGATTATTGTATTCTGTTCCTTTTTATAAGGAATAATATTAGGTTTTTTTTAGATTTGCGTGGAATATTAGGGGCAAAAATTACCAACCTAAAAATATATAGATAGATAAAAAATAAATAAAATTATATACCTATTAAAAAAATTATCTATGAATTCATTGCATATAAATTAAAAAATTATTATAGTATTAGACAGACAATTGTACAAATGAATTAAAATTTAATAAAAAAAGCTTCCCATTACATTTTTACTTAAGAACTATAATACATATTTTTTTTTAACTAGAACCCTAGTAATGCGTTTTACTAGTATATTCTAAAGTATAAAGGTCGGCCTTTGCGCACAATCAACCACATTCTCATATAATTGTTGAATTAGGAAGCCTATTTAAAAAATATTAATTTTTTAAACTAAAATAATTTAATTTTATATAAAACATTACTTTGGGTTTTAATTAAATTATCAAATTATATTTTTTTAATCATAATAATTAAACACCCGTATATGAAACAAAAATGTCAACTCATATTGAATTTTTGTATTTATATCATATAAAATTATCGATATTATTTAATATTATTAAGTAAAATATATATATCTTAAATAAATAGAAATAATATGGTGATATATATATGCATAAATGCAGAATATGTTTGTTTAATATTAAGCAAAATGAATTAATTTTTTACTTAATTAGATGCCTAATACATCAAGTGTCGTATCCATCGTGCTTCACAGTTTTTCTAATTTTATATGTAATTTTAAAATTTAGATGAATAATTATTTATTTTTATTAGATTGGTAATTAACACACCAATTAGATTTGAAATAAATATCATTTTTAAAAGAATACATACCAATTTCTATTACTTTATAATATAATTTATAGTTTTATTTTATATCTTTTAATTTTATTTACAAGAATATATATTACTATTTGTATTCTATATATATAATAGTACTTGCATGGAAAAGATGTCACCATGCTGAACATGAACAATTGTCAAGGAATTTTGCGCCGCTGCCATGGTGGACGGGAGGAAGCTTGAAGCACCGTGGGTTGTTCCGGCAGGATAAATTCTCTAAAATAATTTCTTCCCAACTCTTTCCACATAACACATGTATGATGAACATATAGAAGCTCAACACTCTTCCTCACTAAAAGTCAAATTTGTGTAATTGATCAAATTGCCTACTATTTCAATCAGATTAATTTGCTATGCAAGGTTATGACTTTAGGACTATGTTTTGGTAAAAATCATGACAGAATGTGAAACTGATTAGTTGCAAATGATCACATATCAATTGAAAAATTTAACCCCATTTGTATATTTTAATTGTACAAAATTGATTTTCAAAACCAGGCAAAAAAAACAAAAAAAAAAACGTCATTTGTCAGTCTTTATATTTGAGCAACATTTTTGTTCTTATTATTACGCTGTATATATTTTTTGCAGCCTAATACGAAATCAGACGAAAAGCTTAAAAATAAGAGAGATATATAGTAAATAGAAAAGAAAGCGAGCATAGTACTTATGCCTGACCTCTTCATTTCGACTCAACCCATGTTAACCCATCATACTGACTACGAGTCTGGTAGAAACATTCTAACATCTCCATTTCAAGTAAAGCCCTATATACCAGCCATACGTCCTGTTTCGCAATTCCGACGGATCTGTCCACTGCACGAGCTGCCCATTGACCTTAACTTGCTCCAAATCATGCCACCAAAAGTAGGGCTGGGTCCTGACGTTCTTGCTTGCAACCAACATGTTTAACTGAAACTCCGAGAGCCTGTACTTCCTGTCCGACTCGCTCACGAGGCTACCACCCCATACGCGACTCGGCCGACAAACACGAAACAAGCCATTCGTAAACTCCAAATACCAAGATGTCGTGCGACATTTACAAGTATCAAATTTCAAGCTGCACAACACCACAGGCGGCTCGTCACCAACAACAGCACTACAGGGCACGTCCTCATGGCCGCCGTCCATCTGCAAAAACAGAGAAATCCGAGACCCACTTAATGCCTTGAGCATTCGTCTCAGCTCAAGGAACCACGAATTGACGTCGAAATCGGGATCATCCTCACACGAATAGAGGAATATATCTGAATCCCACCCCTTGGAAGTAGTGGTCGTGAAAGAGAATGTGTCCGGGACCTGGGGAATATTGGCATTGAACGTAAACTTGCGAATGTTGGGGGCACAAATCGTAACTCCTTTAAGCGGTATATATCTTGTCGAGATGTTCAAGTACACGACCGAATCACTTGCAAGATGGAATTCCTCGAAACCGGAGCAATTATTTAGTGTCAAGTTCTCAAGAGTCGGGCAGCGGAACGACAACAAGTCAAACGACTCGCTCGACAGGATCACGTTCCAGAGATGCAATCTTGTGAGACGAGAGAACAAGAATGTGCTTTGGCGGTGAAACCAAATCCATGAGCCCTTTATGGACACTGTCTCGAGATTCGGGGCATTCATTTCGATGCTACGCCCTTCCATCTTCATGTAATTATACAATTCAATGTAATTATCCAATTCAAAGTGCTTGAGCCCAGGCGATGCCGCTTCGCTCAGCCTAATGTTTCTCAACTCCCAACAACAATTAAGGACAAGGCGGCTGAGCAAAGGGCAGCCCAACATTATCTTCTCCAAAGTACCACCATTAATTCGGACCCATTCGAGGATTAGCGTGCGTAAACGTTTGAACCGCACGCTCTCGACCAGACTCACCCTGCAACTGTACAGGTGTAGTTCTTCGAGGGACTCGGCTAAGAACACTGCCGAGGGCAGGCCGTAATATGACCAAGTATATGAACAAAAGTTGAGTTTGAACGATTTTATGTTGAGGGCGGCTATCATCGGGATCCATTTTTCAAGAAGGGAGATTACCGGTCGTAAGTCGGGGCTCGAAAAGTCAAGATGGAGTTTGTTTATAGAGAGGTTTAGATCACTGTATCCTTGTAGGGTTCGGTTGACTATGGAGACAAAGTTTTCTTGTGTACTGTTGAACCATTCTTCGGAGAAGTCGAGGTTTGGGCGGGTTGATCCTATGTGGCGCCATTGTTTGGAGAGGATACAAGTTTTCACAGCTTCTTTCTGGGAGACGAAATAGAGAATGTGGTGAAGTATAGGCATCGGCAATCCAGATATTCTGTCGTCCACGGCTACGAGATATTCTCTCTCTTCTCTTTCTTGTTCTTTTAAGGCAACAATTTTTGTAAAGGAGACGACCGGTTGTGAGTCGGGACTCGATAAGGGGAGATGGAGTTTGTTTGTGGAGAGGTTTTGATCACTGTGTCCTTGTAGGGTTCGGTTGACTACCGAGACAAAGTCTTGTTGTGTAGTGTTGAACAATTTTTCAGGAGAGTCGAGGTTGGGGCGAGTTGATCCTATGGAGGAACTGTTGAACAAATTTTCGGAAGAGTCGAGGTTGGGGCGAGTTGATCCTTTGTTGCGCCGCCATGGTCTGCAGAGGAGGAGAGAGAGAATGAGGTGCAGTTTGGAGCATTTTTTATCACGGCAACGTTGTATAGTAGTTCGGTCGACGACGACGGGGACAAACTTTTCTTGGGTATTGTTGATCAATTTTTCGGAAGAGTTGATGTTGGGGCGAGTTGATTTGACGGAGACAACCTTTTCTTGTGTGTCGTCGAACCATTCTTGGGAGAATTCGAAGTTGGGACGGGTTGATCCTATGTGGCGCCATTGTTTGGAGAGTGCACAAGTTTTCACTGCTTCTTTCTGAGAGAGGAAACAGAGAATGTGGTGACGTATGGGAATTGGTAGTTGGGATATTTTGTCCTCCATTGCTACGGAGATATTCTAAGTTAACACAGTTTTATAACAGTAAAAAACTTCTTCTCCAACCAGTCTTCTAATATATCTATGAATCTGTTACAAACATATGAAAAAATTACCAATAATGTTAAAAAATTAGTAACACGATGAATATATAGATTTGAATGCACAAAATATCTAATAGGTTGTTACAAAAATATGCCTAAAATTTGTGCCTACCCAGATTTTGTTACACGAATGTCTACCCTCTCAAAATTTTAAATTCCAATTTATTTATTGTTAACATATTTTTAGCCCCTCTCAACCAATATGTTTGTTACACAAATGTCTACTCTGTCAAAATTTTTAATTCCAATTTATTTATTATTAACATATTTTTAGCCCCATCTCAACCAGTATTATATTTATCGTTAGTAGCTAGCAGATCTTTAATTGCAATTTATTTATTATTAACAAACTTTTAGCCTTATCTATCAAATATTATCCCCTCTATATATAATTTTACAATAGGTTGAACCTACGTGGCAAACTCTGGAATCCTATTTGGCAAAAAACCATGTTTTTGAGTTATGGTTGGATATAAATTAATATTTTTTATCACACTAAATCCATGATTGATTTTTTCATTTTTTACTTCTACAATTAGTTACCATAAATTATTTTATATTTCTTTTTCCTATATTACCATACATTACATTTCATTTTCTTATTTAATTCATTTATTAGTTATTAATTTTTTATTCTTCTAATAAAAATAAATAATTATTTATCTAAATTCTAAAATTACATATAAAATTAGAAAACTGTGAAGCAACGGGATATTACAATTGATGTATTTGGAATCTAATTGAGTAAAAAAATAATCTATTTTGCTTAATATTAAACAAACATATTTCTGCACTTATGCATATACATATCACCATATTATTTCTATTTATTTAAGATATATATATTTTTACTTAATAATAGTAAATAATATCAATAATTTTATACGATATAAGTAAAAAAATTCAATATGAGTTGACATTTTCATTTAATATAAGGGTGTTTAATTATTATGATTAAAAAAATATAATTTGACAATTTAATTAAAACCCAAAATAATGTTTTATATAAAATTAAATTATTTTAATTTAAAAAAATTAATATTTTTTACATATGCTTTCTAATTCAACACCCGTGTATTTACACGAGTATTGTACTAGTTTATCATTAATAGCAAATTTGATTGCAATTTATTTACTGATATATCAACATATGTTATATATATTATATTTATCATTAGTAGTCTAAAAATATCCCACATTAAAACACCCCTTACAATACATGAATTTCAATGGAAATATATTCCAATGGAATTACAACGGCAATTAGAATGATATTCTAATGCTATTATTTCTGTTGAAATTTTCAATTGATTCTAACAGAAATTCGAATAAAAAAAATATTCCGTTGGAATGAATTTCCCATTAGAATTTTCATTGGATTTTGACGATTGCAACAATACATGTTTCAACGGTTGAAATATGATAGAAAATAAAAATTCCAACGGATGTTTTATATTTCAACGGTAAAAATTCGATGGAATAATAGTTGTTGGAATGATCAAACTTCATCTAAATTTCAATGAAAAACTCATTCCAACGGAATTATTCCGTTTTGAGTTTTCGTTAGAATTATTCCAACGGAAGCTATACTATTGGAATATCTGTTGGAATTTCCATTCAAATATATTATTATACGATTTTTCGTTGGAATATAACTTAATGAAGTGCTCTATTTGGCAAGTTGAGAGTGTACCTTATATTGCAATTTTTTTCTATTACTGTAATTTTTTATCCACATCTAAGTACTCAATATATTCTTATATTGCATTTTTTTGCAATTTTTTATCCACATCTAGGGCTGACGTTTTTTGACCGAGAACTGAAAACCGAACCGAACCGACGAGAAAATAAACCGAACCGTACCGACTCATTTATTAATTCGTTACCGACTTGTTATCGGTTCAGAAACCATAAAAGTTCAGTATTACTGAATCGAACCGACAAGGAATTACAAAAAATTGGATGAATGTGGTGAATAAATGTTGTTGGTATTATTGGTGGATGAATGTTGGGTATTATTGGTGGATGAATGTTGGAATGTTGTTATTATTGGGTTGTTGAACTTAATCATGTTGGAACATGGTGTATGAATGTTGGGACTTAATCAAGTTACATTATTATTGGTGAATTTCGGTTTTTCGATTTTTTCGGTAATAAACTATTACCGAACCGGTTGTAATCAGTAACGTTTCATATTTTGTTGTTATTGAATAATCAGTTTGATCCTATCGATTCGGTAACCGAATCGATACCAACCCATCCACATCTAAGTACTCAATAAATATTATATTTCATATATTTCTATACTTATAACAAAAGTCATCCTATTTACTAAAAATAGTAGGCAGAAAAGTCAAAGATAATTAATTCATTTTATTTCCATCAAATATTTTATTTAATTATTTTATTTATTTGTTTTATCCCATAACATCGGTTTTGTAAAAAAAACCCCATAGTATTTTATTTTAAATTTGGTCTACAATTGCGGCTTGGCATCATATCTGTCCGAGATTTCATAAATATTTATAATTATTTATTTGACTAAATACTAATTTCATATATATTTATAATTAAACATGATTAATTATAATTAATAATAATAATAATAATAATAATAATAATAATAATAATAATAATAATAATATAGTGTAAAATATAATTTAAAGCCTTTCTTTATTTTAATATAGCGAGAGACAAAAAATAGATTATAACTCTATTGTTTTCTAGACTTAACGTTTATTAAAAGAGAGGGGAAAAATAGATGAAAATCTTATTACTTTTTAGACTTAAACAGACCGAGTCTGTGAAAATAACTCATTTAATATTTCTGTCGCACGGGGTATGTACTAGTTTAAACCATTACCCGTTTGTCCTTAGCATTTACAATATGCATTGGGTCTAGTCTTGCATATGTGGCAGGTAAATAAACCAGTCTTGAATGGCATGAATAAAATTATGTAAAATTAAAAAAATTCACTCGGTCTACTCTATTTGCATTGGAGAATATATTTTTTAGACTTAGTTTATTTCTTAGGTGGGTGGATGCTCTTATGCCTAGTTTGATTAGTGTAGCTTCTAGGCCATTGCCCATTAGTGTGCGGGCCTCCTTGTACTAGGTTTTTTGAGATTGGTGCTCCTTGGCTTGTAAAACTTTTTATTCTTTTATTGATATATATCGTTAAAAA